TATTATTATTTTCGAATTATTTGTATAACAAGATTGAATTTTGTTATATTTTTGTTATAAAGAATTTATAAAACATTTATCAATACTTTATTAATATATATACAGTTTCGTTGCTAAGCTCATGTTGTTTATCATGTTGAACTAATATTTTTGTAGAATTATACTAATGAATCGTTATGTTAGTTAGAATTCATTGTGAAATTCAAAATCTTGATAATACATAATTCGCAATTACAAAAACAAAATACTATTTACCGAAATTACAGTAATTAGTAACGGTATTGGCAATTATATTGCATCTGATATAGTAATCAGAGTCTAACCTAATGCATTACTTAAATATTTATATGTATTTATATGCACGGAAAATTTAAAGCGCACTAATATTTATTTGTTTAGTATACTTTGATTTATTAGTAAAATCGTTCTCTTTTTAGGTGATAACCGTGTTATCTCGCCTTTTCCTAAAACACCTTAAAATAATAATAGTAATTTGTTAAGATTTATAATGATAAGTTATAAAGTATATTTAACGCTACGTTCCAATACTAATATTATTGCAAGTATTTAAAAAAAAATAGGTTAATATATACTGAAAACTATACCTTTATCTCCTTAAGTATTTCGAACGACTAACGTTCATGCCAAGAAAAAAAGGCTGATAAAAGGATCTCATGGCATCACAATTAATATCTAATATGAGGCTGTAGACTTCGGGTTTTTGCGAGTGGACTCAGCCCTGAAAAATCTGATCGGTGGCTTATCAATACGGTAATTAAATTACCGGTAAATTAATTCCCTCACTACATTTACGTTTCACGTGACAAATCGTATCTGTTCATTTTTAGAACTTTAACAAGTCCTGAAGTCACGATAGATAGGGGATTGTATTACCAAAATGTACAACGTTTCCATTCGTACTACGTTTTACAATTTTTAAGAACAATGATAATTAACGTTAATGCATCGATAAGCCTTTCGAGTGCTGAAAATTTTTAACTTTATTCTTGTGAGATGTCATCTACGAGTGCTGAGTCAGAGCCGATTAAGAAAGATGTTTCTGAAAGTACAAATGAATCTGACATAATGGAGGTGAAACAGCCTGTTGAAAGCATGAACTCAAAAGTTGACGATGACATTAACTTTTCAGGTATTTTCTTTATCTTGTTTCATGAAATTAACAATATTTAAAGTTTTTAAGTTTTACATATTGTTTCATAATAGTTTCATGTTGATATTAACTTAAAAAAAAGTATTCGTTAAGTAGAAATAGTATAATGATGTTATTATTCAATTTTTATCTACTTTTAATTTAGAAATGACAATTCATCAAGCTTGTCGACAAGGAGTTCTTCATATAGTAAAAGATATGATCGAAAGCGGTTACGCTAAAGCAACTGACAGAGATAGTAATAATGTGACTCCATTACATTTTGCGGCCATTAGTAATCATGTGTCCGTTGCAAAATATTTGATCGACAATGGTGCTGAAATAGATGCTTTTGGTGGTGACTTGGTTGCTACTCCGTTACATTGGGCATCGAGGTACGTTGTGAATTCTTTCCCGTTAGAATCTTTTTGTATGTGTGTATCCATAATCGATTTAATCTATTATGATTTAGGAATGGTCATTTGTCTTCTGTAACTCTTTTAATTAATCATGGCGCCAATCCAAGTCTCCGAGATTCTCAAGGGTTTGATTGTTTACATCTTGCCGTACATTCTTCTAATCCTATGCTGGTGTTATACTTCATATTTTTGGATGTGGCCGTTGATACCCAAGACTCTTCACAACATACACCCTTGATGTGGGCTGCTTATCAATGTGATGCATTAACTGTAGATATACTAATTCGATTAGGAGCGTCTCTATCCAAAGTTAATAATACGCAACTTACACCTCTACATTTTGCTGCAATGAAATCTGATAAAATATGTTTAAGAAAGCTAATAGAAGCTGGTGCAAATGTAAATGCTAAGGATGATAATGGGAAAACGCCCTTCGATATAGTCAAAGAAGTGAAGGCTACTGATAAATGGGGAAGAGCAATGAAAGAAACTGGACTTAAAAATGATGGAAAAAGGAGTCCGTTCCTATTTGAAAAGGTATTATGTTATATATTTTATCGTTACATTGTAATTTTTTACTGAAAATTATTATTTCAATCTATCATATTTATTAAACAGAAAATTACCCTCATTATATTATATGTGATTCCGTTTTTATTGCTTTATATTGCTCTTCAAACGTTAGCTCATTATCCTTGGTTTATTGGATTACCTTTGGTTATTTTGGAATATATAATATGTCACATTATAGTTACAAAAGTTTTTATAAGATCACAACTAACTATCGAATTTATGAGAACACCTTATCTATCGAGTATATTTCAAGCAAGCGCTTTTTGGGTTGGCGTCACATGGATTTATAAACTTTTATTTGGTATTTTGAAGACTATTACAATATCTCTTTGCTTTTTTTTAATTTGCATTCTCTATTCCCATTCTCATTTTCAATTTTTTTAAATTGCATTCGAAATTAGCAACCTCATTTTTATATTCGGCAAATATAATTTTTGTTACAACATATGTCATATCAATGTATTCATTTTATGTCATAGTACTGGGCGATCCGGGCTATATTCCAAAACCACAATCACGTGAAGAACAGAAACGGGTATTTTTATGTGAAATTTTTAGATATTATTAATCAATTACATTTCATTATCTAATTTTTAATTTATCGCTAGCTTAGTTGGTAATAGACCTTGCAAATAAAGGGATGCTGGATGCAAGACATTTATGTACAACATGCTTGGTAAGCTTCAGTTTGTTTGTATTCGATCAAAATTATATTATATACTTAAAATTTTTTTTTTCAATGTTGTCTTAGATCAAAAAACCTCTTAGATCCAAGCACTGCAAAGTGTGTAATAGATGTATAGCCCGTTTTGACCAGTACGTATTATTAATATTATTTTTAAATAGTTAATTATCTATTGGGCATTTATACAATTTCCTAATCTTTTATATTCATATTTTATTTTTAATTTTATTTTTTTCACGTTAATAGTCATTGTCCATGGATATACAATTGCATTGGAATAAAAAGTCACCGTATTTTTATGGTGTTTCTACCGTTGATGATCATATCGATTTTAAGTTTTGAATATATCAGCTATACATGTATATAATTGTTATAATTCTATTTCTTTGCTTTGCAGAAATTAAATATTATATTTATCAAACTAATCCTATTTAACAGACTTTGTAATATCCGCACCTCCATACGCGCCAATTGCGTCCGAACCGTGTTTGTTGAGTGATACCTACTGTGGATTCTTCCAATATGATGCATGGACTGCTTCCTTATGTGCCTGGAGTGCGTTACAACTTCCTTGGTTAATAACATTATTATGTTTCCAAGTTTACCAGATTTCTTCGGCAAAAACTACAAATGAGGTGATGAACTTCCATCGCTATTCTTATTTTACGAACAAATCTCCTAACGTAGGAAGTAACGGAGTTGACGGTGTGAATGAAACTATTAATAGTACGGATGTCACTCATCAACAGAGTGAATGCGGAAGAAAATGTAACCACCATCATAAACATAATCATTTTTCAAGAATTCGTAGAGTATTTGAAAGACACGATGATATCGTAAACCCATTTGATTTTGGATGTTGGAATAATTGCGTGGGTTTTTGGTCGGAGGGAAAACGTGGAAAGTTACAAAATGTGGATTGGTATGAAATTTTTGATACTTCTTTTATTGAACCACATGATGATGATGTAAAATCAAGAGCTGGAGGCTATACTTCTTTAAAAAGAGATGAGATCGTATAAAATATAAAGTTTATATATTTGTTGGTTTGGTTTAAATTATAAATCAGGTTTAGTTTTCTTTTTTGAATAAGAAAAAAAAAAAAAAAAACCAACCAAAACATTTGATTTATATTCATATTTTGATTTCTAATTTAATCGGTGGTTACTTGAAATTTTTTTTTAAAAAAAATATTGCTTAGATTATAAAACTAATGTAAGACTATTTATTCAGTCAAGTTTATGGTGCTATAATAAATATCATTGAACATTTATTTCGATTGGTGTAATTTTAAATGTTAAAATCACTAAATTATAATATTACAATTATCCTTACGAGTTTAGAAGCACTATCTCTATGTATCAGGTAATAAATACATAAAGTACGTAAAGCGTAACGTATTATGAGATCGGTCAATAAATTTATGCAAAATATAAGACCAATTTTGGTTTTTTACGGTTATTTTACCATATAAAAATAATAATATTACATTTACTTTTTCACTCGTACAAATTTGATTTTAATGTTATAGTCGTGAAATAACACACCTTGCGCGTTACTTTGAAAAAAGAGGCAAAAATTTGAGCCTAATACTTGTATCAAATCCGCTAGTACATAAACAAAAATGAGAGTTATATCAGGACGCAGTGTTTTATTTTTGGACAAAGTATAGCATTTTCAAGGGGGAGCGATTTTCGAAATACGTAAAAGTTCATCTACAAGGCCCGGGTCTGTTCATTCCACCAATTTAGTAGACTCGGGTCTAGTACTCGCCTAGAGGATACATCATGAGTAGTGACTTGAATCGGTTGAGCTATAATCGGTTAACCGATCCGAACCGAATAAATTCGGGTAACCGGTTGAAGAAATTCTTAATCGGTTGACCCGAAAGGCGGTATGAGAAAATGTCAAAATGACGTAGGGAGAGTAAAGGATCCGAAAAGTTCCGACAAGCAAGGTCGAGACAAAAATTAGAGTAAAGCTCCGAAGGTAGTATAGATATTAATCTTAACCGGTTGGTAATCGGTT